CCTGGCTGGCACAGCCTGAGGCCAGAAGGACAGAGGATTGCTCAGAAGGGATGGGGAGTTGTGGGCAAACATTGCCCATTTCCCAATCTTGCCTTGGGTGGACTCTGACGGCAGCACTGAGGGAGGGAGCCGTAGCTCTGCCAAGGCATAGGCCTTGCGAATTATCTGGGCTGCAGAGTGAGTCACTCTCCCCAGGCTGTTTTCAATGTTAAGAATGAGTTAAGATTACCAGGGAAAACCTGCCGGGAGGAGGAGAACCTCATGCCAAACTCCTGTGGCCATTCCCTTAGGGTTCTGAGTGTGAAGTCCTTGGCTCCAGCAGAAGGTGTTTTGAGGGGAGGAGAGGGGAAAGAGAGAGGGAGGGAGAAAAAAAGAGAGGGCGGGAGAGGACAGTGAGGAAGAGCGAGAAAAGAATTAGGAAGGATTGGGTATCCCTGGATTCCTGGATGGAAGGCATGGAAACTGGATCATTTTTGCTCCCTAATTTCTGTTCAGGAGTTAGCATTAGGAGAGGGGTGTGTGTAAGGAACTCAGAGGAGGGAGAAACCTCCTGAGTGATACACTGACCTCATTTGGAAAACTGTAATGAGCCCATATCCTGAGTGACAAACCTCTCTGAATGTGTGTCACTGGGAGCAGGGTCTGCCCAGATGGCCAAGGACAGCTAGGAAATGCCTGGCTGGAAGGGGCTTCTCCAAGAGGTGGAGCTTGGCTCCTAGGAGATTTTAAAATGCATCCCAGTAGTACTATCCAAGCAGGGTATTTGGAAGTTTGATCTCTGAGGCGTGGAATTAACAAGCAGACAATGGATTGGGCTTGGGCTCTGCTGTCATCTGAGAAGTAGGGAGGCCCTGTGCCCAGATTTTCATCCCGAAGCCCGACTTGGCTGCCTGTGACTCACGGTCTTCACTCCTCCACAGCCTGGCCAGGGAACATGATGTTGGCTCATCAGCTGCACCTCCTAATTCCCGAGTCAAGTCTCAAAAGCATCCTCTGGAATTAGCTGTTTTTAATGAGGATGGCGATGTGGACCAGAAGGGGCCTCCTGTGTGTCCAGGGCAGACCAGGCCTGTGTGTGCTCATCTGCACTCCAGCGCTTGCTCCTTCCCACCTCCACCAGATTGACTGTTGGGTGTACAGGCCCTAAGCGTTTGACCTGGGGCATCGGCTCTCCAGGCAGCCTTCCCTTCCCTCTCTGTCACACTGCAGTTTGAAAGTAGGTACCAGCAGATCTCACCACTGACTTTCTCTTTCTCTCCCATAAAGTGCCTCCTGGTCTTGTCTTTACTTTGCTGCCAGCAGGCCAGGGACTGTGATGGCGGGGGGCGGGGCTTGAAGAAGGTGAGAAGTGGATAAGTCCAGGTGTCTGGGTCAGTGCCCAGGGGGAACCACCCAGGGGAGACACAGAAACTGTGATTTCAGGGAGAGGTGTGTGCATGTTCTGGGACCCTCTTGTGGGGTTTCAGAGCATCACTATCTTGGCTGAAAACCTTTGTTAGCTTCCTGAAAGCTAAGTAGCTGACAAGTGGCTGGGCACCTGGCTCTTGCTCTGATCAAAGGGCCTCCTGCCATGGGACTGCTTATTCAGAAGTCCTAAATTGGCAGCTCTAGGAATGCAGCTGATTCACAGGTGTGTCTTATTTGGTCTGCGTAGTGCTTATAAATGTAAAAAAAATATTTGAAACATTTAAAAATCAGGATATTTGATATGAAGAAAATCTGGATTTATGGCTTTTCTTTAAAAATTAGAATCACAACCAGGGCACACATTCTCATACGGCAACGATCAGGTGTTTTCTTGAGACAGGACATGAGTTCTATAATTAGCCACAGTCCCCACCTGGCCCACTTACATGCTTAGTCCCTGTAAATATTTGCATTCAGAATCCCTGGTGAGCCTCTAGAATGTCAGAGCTGGAAGGGGCTTTAACAATTACATAGTTCCAACCTCTTCAGTTTCTAGTTGAACAAATGGAGGCCTGGAGAAGGAAAGACTTTCTAGGGTCATGTGGCCAGGACCAGCACCAGGTTTCCTGCTGCTAGGCCAGTGGCCCATGTTTCCATCAGAGCTTTTTGGTCCTTCACTGAGCCACATGATGGACAGAGCCAGGAGACCCTGCCTTGCCTTTAGTCTCACTCTTCAACTACATATGAGTCTGTGATGTGTGTGCTTTAAGTAGAACTTGGAAACGAAGGCTCTGGCATATAAAGTGTATCTGAAACCATCCTCTAGCAACTCCTCAAGACCCCACAAACACTCTCCAGGGAAGGAAGTAGATCCCTGGTCTCCCGGAGCCAGGATAGGGTCCTAAGGCTTAGGACATTGTTAGGGCTGGAAAGGGTGTTGACCCCTCCCACTGTGGCTACTTTGAGAACCTGTGGATAAAAGCAAAGAGTAAATGGGATTGCATTAGGTGTGGTGGCACCCTAAAATCTTAATGGCATAATACAATAGAAGTTTATTTCCCACTCAGTAAAGTCCCAGACAGGTGTTCCTGATCAGCAAGAGGGTGGGTCTCCTCCAGGCTGTGATTCAGGGATCCAAGCTCTTCCCAGCTTGTGGTTCTACCATCTTCAACATCTTCTCCCTTGGTTTCTGTGGAAGGGGAAAGATCACAGAGGAGTGGCTGGTCTTTATGAGCCAAGCCTATAAATGGCATTTATCACTTTTACTCACATTTCATTCAGTCACATGGCCACACCTAACTGCAAGGGAGTCTGGGAATTAAAATAGCTGTGTGCCTAGGAGGAAGAAGAGGTGGCTGTGGTCAACAACCGGCCGGTCATTGTGGAGCTACCTTCATGGTAGCCCACAGAGCATGTGTGTGAATTCAGACAAAGGAGGCAGTCAGAGTGGAGGAAGCTGAGTCCATGTCAGGAGGGCGGAAGCACTGTTCTTTCCTTTTCCTTCCATTCTCACCACACTTTTCTGGAATAAGACCCACTTTAGTTTTCCTCTGGGCTACAACAAAGATAGTCATCTCTCCAAGTGGCCCCCTACCCCAGACATGTCCACTTTCCATGCACCACTCACAAAGTTGCCAGAATGATCCTTCTGGCGCTACGGGAATCCATCCTCAAGGTTTACTGGCTCATGTCAGTTGGCTTAGAAGGGTGGAGCCCTTTTCTTTAAAAATAAAACCGTATAAAACCTTAACCACACAGAGCAGACACAATGATGAATAACTTATTTATATAAACAAAGTATTCTGTACTTTTCAAAGTTATCATAGGATCCTAGTAGATGTCAAGGGGACTTTCTCAATTGAAACCTTGGCTAGAGGAATCAAGAATTATTAAGAGTAGGGGAGCACTTATACATTATTTAATCCAATCATAACATTTTGCGGATCACATCTCTTTAGGCAGAGCAAGGTTCACCTGGATTTAGGAAGGTCTTGTATGGTGGTCAGGCTCTGATTTGTACCTTCTCAGGACCTCGATCTACCAATTATCTGCTCCTACTACCATATTGATAACCTTTCTCTCATTAGTTATTTCCCCCCAGCTTTTTTCCACCTTAAATCCTCCCCTCCAGAAACTCCTCCATTAATTTTCGATCAAATTCTTCTCTGTGCTATTCCAAGCATTTTATCCGATTTGCAGGCCAACTCCATTCTTGCTGGCCGGCCTGCCGCCCCGGTGCACGGCCTCTGCTCCCTTCCTCACTTCCCACATGCTTCTCCCTCTGGGTGCTTCTTCCTCCTTACCTCACCCCTCGCCTGCCCCTGCCACTGGTAACCCCCGGCCTTCCTGTGCAACCCAGTGCAGACCTCAGGAAGCCTTTCTGAGTCAGTGCTTCTGGGTGAGATGTTACTTCTCTGTAGCATTCATCACAGTCGAATTCATTATATATTTACTTGTCTTCCTCCCTGTAGCTCACAGACTGTCTTCTGCTCAGCATCCCTGGAGCCTGGCAATAGTTAGGACTCAATAAATGAAAGCCGAGTGACTGAATGGATTCACCTTAATTACACTGGATGAACTAACTGGCTGTGTGTTCACTCTGCCTTTGGGGCTTGGTCTCTGCGTGGCTCTAATGTCTGGCATATTTCACCCAGTGGGTTGCTTGTCTGGAACATGGATGAGTGAGGCTGGAAGTGGGAGAAAGAGGCCCTGTTCCTCTGTGGGGTTGAGCCCACTTCCCTCAAATGCTAGAGTCTGTGTCGATGTCAAGTCTGCAGGCGTGGACAGGGGACAGATGTCACCCTGCTCCTTCCTACCAGGGCAGGGAATTTCTTCTATTTCTGGCTTCAGCCCAGTTTATCCATAGTTTTCTCTAGGGGCTTGGACATTTGTCGGTCTCTTCTTTCCTATGGTGAGAAGTGCCGGGCATGAAAACCATTCATGATGCTCTTCTACCTGGGCCATAACTTGATTTGGCCTGAACCCGAATCTCCCTCTGAGTTCATGGGCACATCAGGTGCTTCTCTGCCCCACACGCTCCCCTCTCTCAGCCTCGCTGTAAGCTCCAATCAGGGTTTGAGATTTCGGTCTTGTTCAGTGCTGGGTCCCCTAAGCCAAGCCTGACAAGTTGGAACATTTGATGCTTGCTGAATGAATGAAAGTATGGAAAGCCTCACCATGTGTGTATGTGTGCACATGTGCGTGTGTGTGTGTGTGTGTGTGTGCGCGCGAGAGAGAGAGAGAGAGAGAGAGGATTTGTGCCAGCCACCAGGAAGTTTTCCCTCTAGTTAAAACTTGTTTCTGGCTTTGGTGATGGTTCCAGAACCTTTCATTTTGGCTCAGTTTTGGCCCAGCTTCATGAAGCTTTTTCTAGTTTTTTTTCTGGGATCGCTTGAGGCATCTCTTGGGGTAAACTCTACAGTCCTGCTTCTTTGTGACCTTCCTGGAGCACATGTAGGGTCGCAAACTTGTCCCAGTTTGCCAGAAACTTTCCTGATTTTAGCGCTGAAAGACCCACACCCAAATAACCCCTCCGTCTTGGACAGACCTGGAAGGATGGTCACCCTGCTCGCGCGTCTTCTCTGTATGCGCAGGTGCACAATCTGCAGGAGCTCCGGAGAAGTGCATCTCTGGCCACCAAGGTCTTTATTCAGAGAGACTATAGTGATGGGACCATCTGTCAGTTCCAGACCAAGTTTCCCCCAGAGCTGGACAGCCGGGTAAGGACGTCTCCTTCTAAACAGGGAACACAGGCCATGATGGAACTGAGGGGCTTGTTCAAGTGTATTTTTTTCCAGGATAAAAGTAACATATGACACACCACTTATTCAGCCACTTTACATGAAAGAATTAAAAAACATTCTTAACACGGTCTTGCTGTTGTCTCATTGAAAGTTAGAACTGGAGAAACCTGTTTCTAGGCCAATGGTGCTCAAATGTCAGTAGCAGGAGAATCACCTGGAGAGCTTGTTAAATGTAAATTTCTGAGTCCTGGTGGATGGTATTAGGTGTCATCAGAGATGCTGGCTCAGTCTTTGGACTGGGTTCAGGAATCTCCACCTTTAAGCAGCAGTTCTCAACCCACATTAGTATTTTCTGGGGAGCTTTAAAATTTCCGATGCCCAGGCTGTCATCCAAGGGTGTTCCCCACAGCCCCTCCCTCCAGATTCAGCTTCTGTGTGTCTCATGGACCACTGGCCCCTGGCAAGGCATCAGCTCATTCTGCAGAGTTTTGCTCCTGGTTCTGAGCATGTATGTAGCCTCCATCCCAGGCTGCCGTAGAACTGGCCTGGGTTTGGGGGAGAGCAGAGGGCAGACCCCGATCCTTTTGTTCAGCAGCCCAGGCAGATCTAAATGGATTTGGGAAGGTGGGACAGGCCTGGATTTTGCTTATCTGACCCCCAGACCAGCTTTTGGGGAGCCATGTGGGTCTCCTTATCTTAGCATGCCTGTCCTTTGGGGTAGGGTGATCCTGGGGTAGAGCAGCAAGGCTTAGGTCAGGGGGCCAGATGGACAGGATTTTCTCTATGTGTTCACTCCAGGTCTGTTTAGGGACAGTGGCTGGAACCCCAAAGCTTCTGACTATTTGTGGGGAGAGATTTTGTCCTATGCAGGCATAGAGGTCCCTAACCAGTATGTTGGGCAGTTCTGGTCCTGTGGGAGCGAGTGGGGAACAGGGTGTTTTGAAGAGTATAAAAATGGGGTGACAGATACTTTGACACCTGTTGGGTTTGGAGCATGACCTTGCAATCCAGGCTGTCCAGTGTGAGGTTGCCTGGCGAAGAGCACAGACTTGGGTCAGAGCCATGTAACCTTGGACAAACCCACTCAGCATTCAGCGAGTATTTATGGAGCATCTACTCTGTAATAGGCACTGGGGATGTAGGAGGAAATTCATGGAGCTTATTTTCTATTAGAGGGTATAAAAACCCACACAAAACAACTATGTAGATAGTAGCTCAGGGGGTGACAAATACCAGAAAAATAGGGGAAGGTCAAGGTGGGTGGAGAGAGCTGGGGGTAGGGAGTGGTCTGGGTGGCCTGCTGGATAAGGTGAGGCCTGAGGGAAGTAAGGGAGGGGACAGGGACTGTTCACACTCTGAGGAAGCTGACCTCAGCCTGGCTCCTGTCCCTCTCCCCCCCAGATTGAGCGGCAGCTCTTTGAGGAGACTGTGAAGACCCTCAACAGCTTCTACGCAGAAGCTGAGAAGATTGGAGGCAGCTCCTACCTGGAGGGCTGCCTGGCCTGTGCCACTGCCTACTTCATTTTCCTCTGCATGGAGACCCACTACGAGAAGGTGCCCCCTCCCTGATGCCCTGCACCCCTTCCCGGGCTCCCCTGCAACATCATTCTCAATCGGCCCCTCTCCTCACAGGTTCTCAAGAAGATCTCCCGCTACATCCAAGAGCAGAATGAGAAGATCTTTGCCCCTCGAGGCCTCCTGCTCACAGACCCTGTGGAGCGAGGGATGAGGGTTGTATCCTTCCTGTCTGTTCTGTGTGGGGGGGTGTGTGTGTGTGTGGGTGTGGGGGGCAAAGAGCTGCCAACCAGTGGGGTCTGCAGTGAGGCTGCCAGGAAATGGGGCCTCTGCTCAGGGTCTTCCTAGGATTCTCCACATGTCTGATCACCAGCCCTCCTCCCCCACCATAAGCTATTGGTGCTGTTTGTGAATTTCAGGGTTTGCTTTTATTTATTGGGCTGCATTTATTCAGAGCTTAGTACGTGCCAGACATCCTATTAAGTGCTTTGAAACTATGGGTTCCTGTAATTGTCATCACACCCCTCTCATGTGGCTAACTGTTAATAGTTCCCTTTATGGATGAGCACACTGAAGTTAAATCCCTGGCTCACGGACTGGAGCCCAGGCCCACTCTTAACGACGAGGCTGTACTGCCCCTCAAAGAATGTGTAAATCTCCACCTGCGTTTACACGTCCACAATGTCACATAAACCTCATCTAATCCCATGTGGTGGTTCCTGTTGTCCCCCTTCCACAGGTGAGAAAAATGAGGTCTCGGTGGGAGGCTGGCCGAGAGGTGGGTTACAAGTCTGCTCACTCCACCGGTCAAGTGTACACGCTTCCCTCCCCAGTCAGCAGCAGCAAGGCTAGAATGGTTAAAAAGTAAATTTTACTAGAAAATTGAGAGGAAAGGGGAAAGAAACCATAAATACCAGAACCTCATGTTCACAAAGCCCAGCAAGAGGCCTTGTTATTACTGAGCCTGTACCATGTGCCAGGCGCAGGGTGTGTTACTTCACTTAAGCCGCACGACAGCCCCAGGATTTTATACTTATCTGAATTTTACCGATGTGATAACTGACAGGTAACAAGTGAAGTGACCGGTCTAAGGTCACAGAGCTCTAGAGCGAGCGAGGTGGAATTTGAACTCAGGACACCCAAGTCTCCCCACGTCCTGTGTCATAAGCCGCATCCCGGGCGCATGATGTCCTGAGATGTGGTGGTCAGGCCCCAGAACGCACGAGGCTCCATAACGGAGCTGAGTGTGCCGCGGGGCTTGGGGTCTAGCTCCCAGGCCTCTGGGTCCTGACTGCCCGGGAGGCAGGAACAGCTCTGCCCCCTGCTCCCCAACTAGCTTCCCTCAGAGGCCCCTGTCCGCCCTGCGGCCAGCGGGCGCCCTCCTTGACGCTGCGGCAGATCGAGATCTCCATCTACGAGGACAGGTGCAGCAGCGGCAGCTCCAGCAGCAGGGGCAGCGGCAGCAGCAGCGGCAGCGGCAGCGGCAGCGGCGGGGGGGGGTCGGGGCCCCGGTGACTGGCCGGGGGCCCCTGCAGGGAGGCGTATGGCAGGACCCAGGGCCTCGCAGACCTGCGGAGGCTGCGCTACCAGAGCACCCGCTTCTGAGTCATTCTGGGGGCCCACCCGCTGCCCTGCGCGGGGGGAGGGTGGCTGGCCGGCGTTTCCCGCAGGCTGCAGGCCGTCGGCCATGCCTCCTGCCGGGGCTCCCTGGGAGGGGGGCCCTTTCCTGCCCTGGCCCTGCCCATAGGGCTGGTCTGGGTGGCCTGGAGGCTGGGGTGGGGACGACACAGTTTGTACAGCCCCCGTCTTCTGCGGCAACTCTCCCAGTGCCCCACGGAGGGCCCAGGTTTGTCACCGAGAATTCCCATCCTGCATGATTCCCCACCCACCCCAAGTCGCACGTGCCCCAGCAGCTCTCCCCTAGGGACCCTGCTCCCCACGGCTGACCCCCGGTGTCTGTGCTTCCTGATGCCACCACAGGGCCCCTGCCTGTCCACGAGCCTGCCTCCACCTAATTTGAGGTCTGGGGAGATGGGAGTGGTCAGACTGGGTGCTGTGGTGGAAAGCTAGCTGTTCAGTCCCCTCCTGAACTCTTTTAGACCTGTGGCTTCCCTGCCCTCCACCCAAAGCCTGAGGCCGCCTTGGCATTGCCAAGCAGCACCCAACTCCTGAGTCGGTGTAGGTGACCAGCTGCTGGTCATGGGACACACAGCCTCGGGCTCTGGGAGGGTATGGGGACCTGGAGAAATGCTCCATGGAGAGATGTAGCCTTGGGGGCTTAAACCTCCAGAACTGAAGCCAGCTTCCTGAGAGAACATGCACGTATGTGAGGATGAGTCGGTGCACGTGGAGGCATGAGCGTGAGTGCACTATGTGCATGAATGCCGTGTGTGGAGGTGTGTGACTGCATGTGTGCGTGCACCTGTGAGAGTGTATATGTACACACGTGTGAGTGCACATGTGTGAGAGCGCACTTCCACGTTCCCCTTGGCTGCTAGGCCAGTGACTGCCCCTCGCTACACCCTGTCTTACCTTCCTGCGCCATGGTCTGCAGCTGCTTCTCTCCACGGGTCCAGCCTGCCCTCCTGTAAATAAACGTCCTAATGCCCCTTGCCCCTTGCCCCTTGCCCCTTGCCCTGGGGCTGCTGGCTTGGCTCTTCTTCCAGGCCTCTTCCCTACCTGCAAGATTCTCCCCACCTTCTGACTCTACTGTGTCCATTCTAGCAGAAGAGAAGTTGGGTTCTAGGAAAGCAGAGCCCACCTGAGGCCTTCTATGGCCCTGCCCCAGCCCCCATGACAAGGCAATAGGGCCACAGACACTGCATATTCAGCCCGCCCAGGCTCCAGGGCTCTCAAGGCTGTGTAAGTGAGGCTTCCTTGGGTAAGCAGGGGAAAAGGCAAACCCCTTTCTTGAAAGGAAAGAAGGAGATCCAGCCATGAGTCCCTGGCTGCCAAGGCTCAGGGGTGTCAGTGGGAAGGAAGCTGCCTCATCCTGGTGCCCTGAAGATGGACAGAAGGAGGCTGCCTGCCTCAGGTGGCAGGAGGTGCTAGAAGTACATATGAATGACCAGCCACTGCAGGGAGCTTTCTGAAACCAAAGAGGGGCCTGATTTTCTTCAGACACAGGAGCAGCGTGTGGGAGGGAGGTGCCCACCCAGAGAGCTAGAGAGGGTGTCTCAGCCCCTGAGCCCAAGTGGGTTCTGATCCAACAATCGCCCCAGAGAGCTGCAGTCCAGTGGGCTCCATCACAGCCCCCTGACCCCTGGACCCGGCCAGTGCCCACCCTGGCCCGCTGTGTGACTGGGCCTTGCGTCTGACCTGTGCCTCTCCAGTGGGATGGCTGGGCACAGGCAATGCGGTGGCCTTTTGTTTTATTATTTCTTTTTCCAATAAAAAGACTTGCTCACCTTGAGGCTCTGTGCTGCTTCTCTCCCCGGTGGTAAGGGAGGACCAGTTCTATGCCCCAGGATCACAGGGAGGGGAGGGGAGGCTGAGCACCCACTTCATGCCTAGGAGGCAGGGCTGAATGTGTTCCTACAGAGGCAGCTGGCCTGACACTGCAGGACGAACCCTGTTTACTTGGAGCTTGTGGTCTAGTGGGAAGGCCGATATTTCAGATCTAATCTGTAGCTTATACGGAGCACTTGAGGCCTTGGGTGTGGGGAACAGGTTAGGCTGAAAACCTGGTCAAAGGTAAGTAGTGAATTAATTTAATAAAAACCCACTTCTTGAGCTCTTACCTTGGGTTGGGCAGTTAGATGTTGGATCACACGGTTCACTCAGTTCTAAAGACTGGAAAAGTATGTGGGTGTTGAAACCTAGCAGAGTTGTGTCTTGGGTTTCATAAAATAACATTCATTGAACTCCTACTGTGTGCCACATGCTTTGCTAAAACCATATGCTAGAGCTGGGAGGGGATTTCAGGATCATCTAAATGAGGCAGAATAGAGGCCCAGAGAGGAGGGACTGGCCCCAGGTCACACAGCTGGTTGATGATAATGCCAAATTTGGAACCAAAGTCTCCAGACCCAGTGCTCACTCTCACATGGAGGGGATGGCACCCTGGTAGAAGATGCAGGGAGGCAGGGGTCACACACTTAAGTTTCTGGGCCAAGAGAAGATCTCTCCAGACTTTGGGAACAACTGCTCCAGCCTCTGCGTAGAGGCTTGAGGAGGGGTTCCTTCTGTGTGGTGCTGAATGAGACCGGGTGGCTTTTAAGCTTATACTTACAGCTCCTAAGGGGCAGCTGGACTCGCTGCCTCCGCTCAAGCCTGGGGTGTGTGTGGATTGGCACAACGGGGGTTGTTCCTCTAGGTTCATTCTGTCTGTTCTGTTTGCAACTACATTATTATGTTACATTAGTAATGATAAAATAATAGTAGCTAACATTTATTTAGCACTTACTGTGTGCTAGGCACTAGGCTAAGACTCTACATAATTCATCATTCAATCCTCACAACAACCCTCTGTGAGGAGACTGAGGCTCACAGAAGTAACTTGCCCAAAGTTACACAACTGGGAAGTGGCAGAGCTTGGCTTTGAATCTAGACAGTCTGGTTCCAGACTGTGGGGAAGGTGACAGATCCATCTTCAGAGACCCCTCAGCAGCTTGAGGTCCTCAGCCATCCTACGGTTAGGATTTGGCAGGTTCCCAGGAAAGGACTTGTTGCTGTATCTGGGCTCTGAGGCAGGGCCTGTACCTCCAAGCCCAGGCCGTCACAGGCGTGTGGGTGGACTGCGCTCCTCATGGGCCTCCCACCGGGTGTGCTTTCCTTCAGCCTGGTTTCCCTCTGCTGGCTCAGTTATGGGGGAAGTGGCCCCTCTCCTGGGTCTGGTTTCAGCCATGTGCCTGCAACCTCGTGAGCCGGAGACAGGCTTCATCAGGCCCCAGGGAACAGAGGAAGCCCCAGCAGCTCTGGGCTGCAGCTTCCCCCTCCTTGCTGCTGGGACACCACTTTCTGGCTTCTGCCAAGGACGGAGGGGTGTGGAGGGTGGGGTTTGAAAATCACAGTTTACAGAAGCTTGTCGTGCCCCCAAGTGGCAGAATCATATACTGCGCCCAGAAATTGGCCGGGGTCAGAGTGGCTCTGCTGTGGGAAACTTCCCCATGACCCCCCAAACCAGCAGCTTCTCCCACCTGCAAGGACTTTACTGTGGCTTCCAGAGGTTCTGGACGAAGGTGGAGGCCTGTCAATGGTGAGTCTCCCTACAGCCAGGCCCTGGGGTGCTGCCTTTCTCCTGGAGGCGTGTCTGTGTGTGTGTCGGGCGGGGGGGAGGACGTGTTGTTTTGGCAGCCTGGAAACCCTACCTCCCTTCTCTGCAGCTCCAGGACTTACAGTGAGGAGGGTCTCTGCAGGAGGTGCCCCTACTTGGTTTTGGTTTTGGCTTTATTGTTCACCAAGGCTAAAGGCAGTGCAAATGCCACTCGTAGTCAGATCTGAATTGGGGCTTTGGCTTCATGACGGTAGAATGTGGTGCAGACTCCTGGAGTCTCAGTTTCCCCAGCTGCAAACAGGGATGCTAATGCTTTGCAAAATTGCTTAGATCAGTGCTTCTCATGCTCGGCTGCAATTGGTGTCACCTGAGGAGCAAGAAAAACTGCCAACACCAGGTCCTATCCCCAGATTTCGTTGTCCTGGGGTGCAGCCTGGGCATTAGGGTTTTTCAGTTCTCCTGGGGGTTCTAGTGTGAAGGCGAGGTCGATATGTATGGTGTCAGATGGGGACTAGATTTATCGGGGTGATCACTTAGTAAGTTATATAATGTCCAATCACTGGGTTATACACCTGAAACTAATATAATATTGTATGTCAACTGTAATTGAAAAATAAAAAATTAAAAAATAATAAAGTCAAGGTTGAGAGCACCTGGTTTGAGCAGTACCTGGAGCCTGAGCTTTTCACAGGCCTCTGAAAATGCCTGACACCTGAAGGAAAAGTTTGTGGGTTCCATGAAAGCAGCCAGACAAAGCCATTGTGCACTCTATAATTCCACTTATAAAAAATTCAGATACAGGCAGAACTAGTTTACAGTGTTAGAGGTCAGGATGGTGGCTGCCCTGGGGTGGGGCTCACGATGCTGTTTCTTGAGCCGAGTGCCAGTCGTACAGGTGTGCCCGCTTCGCGAGAGTTCACTGAGCTGCACATTTAAGATCTATGTATTTTTCTGAACACATGATACATTTCAGTAACATTTACCGAAAACATTTATTGGCTCCAAAATAGGAAAAGGAAGCACAAAATTGAAAATGTTTTATTACATAGCTGCAAAATACAACACTGTGTCAGTCAACTGCAATTCAATTTGACTCGCGTGTGTGTTTGTGTGAGTGTAATTTAATGTGGGCTGTGGATGTATATGAAAATATTTGATATGAGGGGTGGGATGTCCCAAAGAGAAGGTCCTTAGGGCCTAAGAAAATCTTAAAACTGCCCAGGTTTATGCCAGGAGCTCTTAACCTTGACCCGCCTCTCCTGCACTTATCTGGGGAAGAGAGCCCGCAGCCTTCAGGGGA